ACCTAAAGCAGGGGGTAGCTGTATTAAACTTGCTTCCTGCACATTCCAACCTCTCTTTATTCCTAACAGCAAAGAAATCTTTATGTGAAGACTGGTATAACTGAACCAAAATCAAGGCAAGTATCCATATAATGAAATCAAAGTCATGAGGACTAGGATGTAATCAGGAGAAAGGATAATCCAGGCACTGAGCAAACTATATCTCCACATTAATTCCGGTAATATTAATCTTTACTGAGTATCATTGAGCATGGACAACACATGCAGTGCTATGGAAGTAACTGTGGGAGATAAAAAGTAATTATACCATGTATGCTTACTATTGTCTCTGCTCAATATTATTTGTACTCTTGCAGTCAAGATACAGAAACATAAAAAAATTAAAGCTGAAGTACGCAGTGTCATAAGACCCATCACAAGTGTCAAGAGTGGGACAACCACAATGCCGAGGAAGATAGAAGCAGGAGAAATTACTGTGGGGTCAGGAGATACTGACTTGAGCTATTGAATGATGACAGATTTAGAGGAGAGCAGAGGGCAACTTAGGTAGCAGCATGATCTAAGGAAAATAAAAATAGAGCTATACTGGAGAATTTCTACAGTGGAGCAGTGGGAGAAAGGGCTAGAAAGTTGAGCTGGAGCCAGATTATAAAACTATAATACCAGCCTTAGAAGTCTGCCCTTCATTCTGAGTAACAGTGATTCTGGGATTCTAGTATACACAATAATCACCTGGGGGAGACTGGTGAGCAGATAGGTTTTTAACTCCTGAGATTCTATTGTAATTCAGTAAGTTTGGGATGGTCCTAGAAAACTGCATTTTGTTAAAATGTTAGGCTCCCCAGGTGACTCCTGGGGTGGTTCACCAGCACACATTGAGACACACTGCCCTAGGACAAAAGATTAAGAATCTTTACCTACCTCTACTAACTATTGAAATATTACCCCAATTTCTCATAACCTCAACAACACCTTAGTGCTGGGCCTGGACACCTCTCCTCAGTCTTTGTGCTATGCAATCTTTTTCATTATTTGGCACTGACTTCGTTGCTGTTTACATCTTGAAAACTATCTTCTGTTAACAATGCATTTTTCTGGTTCTCTCTGCCTCTCTGATCTCTATTACAGCAATTCCCTCCTTATATGTGGAAGATATGTTCCAAGACCCTGAGTTGATGCTTGAAACCGTGGATAGTATTGAAAGTTAAAAAAAAAACTTTTTTTTTCCCTATACATAAATACCTATAATAAAGTTTAATTTATAAATTAGGCACAGTAAGAGAGTAACAATAACTAATAAAATAAGTATAACAATATACTATAATAACTTAGGTGAACATGGTCTCTCTCTCTCTCTGATAACCAAGATGGCTACTAAGTGACTAACAGGCGAGTAGTGTAGATGCTGGATAAAGGTATGATTCACATCCTGGGTGGGATGGACTGGGAGGGCCTGAGATTTCATCACACTACTCAGAATGGCGTGCAATTTAAAACTTATGAATTGCTTATTTCTGAAATTTTCCATTTAATATTTTTGGACTGCAGTTGACCACAGGTAACTGAACCACAGAAAGCAAAACTGGGGGGGACTACTGTAGAGTCCTCTGGCCTCTCCTATGTTGCCCTTTCTTTATCTTTTCTCCAGATTCTGACATAGGTACGCTACAGTTTTCCTTGCATGATTTTATTTACTCCTAAAGAGCATGGAGCACTTTTCTACCAACCTCAGAAGTTCAGACTTTGCCCTGTAGATAAAAAAAGAGTTATAAGTTTCTCAACAGAGCAATAGCATAGGGAAAGTCATGTTCTAGGAACATTGTCTTGAAGATGGTTTACAAAAAAGATAGGAGAAATAGGGGGAAGGAGAATAATTAGGGGATTATGAAAATAGACATTTAAAGTCATCACCAAGGTGTGGCTTCACTATGAAAATATTACTTTTCTAGTAGTTCTTCCTTCAGAAACTAGTCTATTTCAATAAATTAATAGGTAAGGCACTTCTAGATCTATTAGTTTCATTGTCAGGTGGGTTTGTCAATATAAATTTAAGTATAATATATCAGGTCCTCTGCAATGTTAATCATAGATAGTAAAAATTTGACGCGTCACTGTTCTCTTATAACACCAATGTGAGTTCTTAATCTCCAAAACAAGTGGTATAGGATTCTATAGTATTTGATCCTTATATTTGATATAAGGATCAAATATGGAGTCAACTAATTATGGAGTCAATAAATTATTAATACAGATATTATTCATAAATGGCATGCCTTCTTTTGACTTAACTAATGAAAGAATGGTAAAAGTGTTTGATTTTACTTTCTATGAGTATCTTCAAGATATTAAAAGCATAATACTCATTGGTAGTCTGTGTCTTATACACAGTATTTTCTATTAACTGAATCCATGAAATCTCTAAATGACAGACAAAATAGTATTTAGAAATGATATTCTAATTGAAAAATTCTAGAATCTTAGAAAAATAGAGGCAGAAGGCACTAAATTAGGTGTGACCCTACTACCACCTTATTAAAAATTTTTTTTATTTTTAAATTATAGTTGACACACAATATTATTAGTTTCAGGTTTATAATATAGAGATTAGACATTTATATACCTTACGAAGTGATCACCACGGTAAGTCTAGTACCCATTTGTCACCAACTATATTTATTTATTTATTTATTTATTTTTATTTTTACTTTTTTTTTAGCTGAGCCATCCCGCCACCTGTTGGCAGCTCAGCGGCTGCTCATCTCGGGCCGGGACTTGAACCGCTGTTGCTCAGAGCTCAAACTCTTGAGCGAGCTCTTAACCAACTGAGCCACTCAGCCAGCCCCTGTCACCAACTATATTAACTATAGTCTCTATGCTGTACATTAAATCCCTGTGACTTATTTTTATAACTGCCACCTAATTTAGTAAATAAATCAATTTATTGGCTGTTTTTTTTCTCAAATGATCAACACTGGGAGATGTTATGCCTTCATCGAGATCGATCGCAATTTTAACAACTCTCATTACAAGAAGTCAGGAAGATTGAAATTATTCCTCCCTAGTGTATGATCTTTGGAAAACTATTTAAGCATTGTTTTACTCTCCATACACTATCTATCCTCAATATATATTCTGTGAAGATAAAATGAGGTATTTATTGAAGTTTCTTTGAGCACCTTGGCCCAGAAGAGCTACAGAAAGGCAAGGTGTAGTTATTTTTATTTTTAAAATTATTTTCTTTATTGTGGTAACACATACATACATAATAAAACTTACTATTTTAACCAGTTTTAACAAGGTGTAGTTATTTCCACATCCACTATGTCTCCTGCCTTTTCCCTCTTGCGCTAGATGGCCTCCTTGGAAATGAAACAAAGTTGGCCATCACCTTCTGCTTAATAACCTTCGATGTAGTTGAAACTGCTATTCTCCACAAGTACCTCAAGCAAATTTTTAAGAATTGCCTAAACTATAAAATAGCAATCTAGGGTTGTGAGTCAGCATTTCACCTACACACAAAATCAAAATGATTTAAAATAGGAAACACATAACCTTTTTGAAAGACATATACACCTCCTTGGAGAAGTTTTGAGAAAACTGGAGTTTGCAAGTTTATGAATAGTTTATTACATCTCAGTAAGTGTATTGTGAATCAATAAAGCAAAAGTTGAGGACTAAGAGCTCATTACCAAGCCAGTTATTGATTCTCAAGTTCCAAAATAGAATAGTACAGGAAGAATATAGAGAAAATAGAATTATTTTTGTGATAAAAATTTAAAGTATCTAAGGAACACACAAATAAAGAAGTTATTAGACTTTAAAGAATTTTCAGCAGCTACTTAAGATGTTTATTTAAATTAATTTCTTCATCTTTTTGGTAATTAGAAATATTATTTGGTTTTTATTCTTTAAAATATCTTAAAAAGATATCAGAAGTTTGCAAAAACTGAATATTACTTTTATTGACTGATTCATTTTTTTTATTATTTTATTAATTTATTGGGATAACATTGGTTAGTAAAATTATATGTTTCAAGTGTACATTTCTATAACACATCATCTATATATTGCATTGTTTCAATATCTTTTGTGTATTTTCCTCTTGCCTTTGAAAAGTCTACGTGATTAGCTGTCTACCTTATGTCTATCACTCTGTCAGCTCAGGCTGTCACAACAAAATATAGACTGGGTGGCTTAAACATAAACTTATTTTCTCACAGTTCTGGAGGCTAGAAGTTGAAGATCAAGGTGTCCGCATGGTCAGTTTCTGGTTAAGGGTTCTCTTCCTGGATTGCAGATGGCTCCCTTCTCAATGCATTCGCACTTGTGGGGAGAGAGAGAGAGCAAGCTCTCCAGGTGTGACTTCTTAAGAGAACACTAATCCCATCATGAGGGCTCCACTCTCATGACCTCATTAACCCCAATTACCTCCCAAAGGCCTCATCTCCAAATACCACCATACTGGGGGACTTCAACAAATGAATGGGAGAAGGGACACAAACATTCATTAATAGAAAAAATGGCACTGGCTCAAAATCATTAAGTAGATAATATGGAAATGAGCAAGTGAACTTGTTTTCAAATAATTCCAGTAGAAAGCTTCTCCTTTTCTTCCTTTTACAGCAATCTGATTCAACAAGAAAGGAACTTCCTAAAAAATTATGAACAAACACTAATTTCATGAAGCAGTAACTTTTAAAAACCAAAGATAAAAAATGAGACATACATTGTTTTGGTACAAAAATGGGAAACAGAATATTAACCCATTGGTATGTTAAATAAAAACATCTTTTAATCCCCCATACCTTGTTCCTGTCTCAACTAAAGATTCTGAAAATAATTTAAAGCATTTGGATATCCCTGGAAAGTAATATTATCATGCCCAATAACATTTCTATATTACATTTTCATAGATATTAAAAGGAATGTAAATTGCATATTCTTTCATTCAAAATATAGAAGACAAATAGTAAAAACAAAACTGACAAAATTATAATTGGTTAGTGTGGCTTTTACCTAATTTTAATACAAAGAGTTATTTTTATTACATACTACATACATTTGGAGGTGTAAAAAACGTATTTTTCTTTATTTCACAAAACTCTTCATTGTAAAATACCTAAATACAGCTAAGAACATTTCCACAATGACCATAAAGTGAATAGAAAGCAATTTTCAAAATTTTGAGTCAAAGTGTAGGGGAAAGCAGAATGAAAGGTGACTGAGATCCAGAGTTTACGTGACTGGCAAGATCATCCAATTAGTGGGTCACAGAATTATGGATGGGACTCAGGATTTGTCTGAAAATGCTGCAGATTAGTGTATTCAAGAAGGGGAAGAAAACCTAATTACAGTTCGGATCATTTTATACCATGAAACAACTGTAGAAACAATTTTTTTTAAAGGAAAGTATTAATTTTATATTTTTTAAAAATAAATTTTATTGGGGAGCAACGTGGTTTTCCAGAGCCCATCAGCTCCAAGTCATGTAGTTGTCTGCAATCTAGATGTGGAGGGCGCTGCTCCTTGGCCCATGTGGGAATCGAACTGGCAACCTTGGTGTTATGAGCCTGAGCTCTAACCACCTGAGCTAACCCCTAGAAACTAACTTCTAATTTTTCAAAACTCAATGAGGTGTGTGTATGGTCCATTGGTATCCAGCTTTAACACCTGCCGGTTCCCGTAAGTGCCATGTGCAACCACAACCCCAGCTTCGGCACACTTGTCGTTAGCAGCTAATTCTTTTTCACACAGAGTCACAAATTGGGTATAAAGTTGTAACCCTTCTTCTTTTCCAGAGTTAGAGTGATACTGCATATTTCTTCCTTTCACTTTCCCCCCAAGGGTGGCTTGTGGGATGATAAGAATGCTGCCGGGTAGATCCAATATAGAGACGTGCTTGCCATTTTCTGTTTCACTTAATTTCACATTTAACAATGTATTAACTGGGTGGGGAAGAAAGGGAAAATATTTTGAAGTGAAACGAAAAAAAAAAATGAAGAAAACCAACAATTTTCTAGTCAGCAAATCTTATATTTAAAACCCAGTTTGTCAGCTCATGCTTTTTACCAGAAGTCTGTTTAGATTTTAAACTTGTTTCACTAACTAAATGATCTAAATGTGAAAAACAAGGCAAATTTCATGCAGAAAATGGCGATGATTTAAATGTGACTTGGCAGGTAAGAGCTAACAATTAAGTTCATCCAGAAAGGACTAAATTAACTTATTCTGGAACCTCAAAATATTGCTGCCCCAGGGGCTACATGAGAAGAATTTGCTCCTCTTCCTTTTTATATTTCTTAAGCAAATCTCATTAGAAAAAGACCATGATAAATCCTCTTCACACCAAATTCTGATTTATAACAAAGAATATTAAATAAAAATCTTAGAGCATATTTTAAACTTAGTTGCCTAGAGTTCTAAGCTGAGACAAAGGTTCTGGGTTCAGTCCCCTTATAAACCTGCTGATTTTACAATTTCACAACCTCAAAGGTACTATTAATGTGGACTAATCATTTTATAAATCTAACCCATGGGAGTTACGGTGTAAAGAAGAGTAACGGTGAAAGCAAGAATTATCAGAAATTCATTGTTACAACTGAAAAAGTAAATTAAAAAGTTTAGAGTTAACTGGCCTTATCTTCATATGCATACAAGAAGACATGGTATTATTTCTATGGCACTTATGAAATTATATTCTTATAGCTTATAAATATCAAAATCATCACACATATCTATGTATAACTAGAAATCTAAACTTAGCAAACCTTTACATCTCAACTTTAGCCATTTTCAAAACAATAAACAAAAGAAATGCCTAATATAAATAGCCTGAGTGTCTCTCTACCTCCATAAAGGGTATAAATAACTTTTGCTTGTAAACATAGTCCTCAGAGGGCAAATGGTAAAAGAAACTATATAAACCTCACATTCCTGTCCCAAAATTAGGCTTGAAAAGGTATGCTCTCTGGTGGGGTAGTCAATGGTTTCAATTATTACAGGATCCGTAGTAAACATTAATAAGGATTCAGTATGGTTCCAAGCACACCTCCCTCTACTGGCTATAACTGAGAATTCACTTAATGCCGTTGGTATACAAATACCAGTATGTAGAATTAAATATAATACAAATACAAATGTAAGTAGAATTAAAATGAGATAATGAATTAATGGCATGCTGGAAACTCAAAGATCCTAAGACAGGTTATCAATCAAGTACCTCTAATGATGTATACCGCAAGTTAAGTTTTGACAGGTCCCTGGATCTCAGTCCAATTATACTGAAGATGAATTGAGGAAGATTCTGCACATCTCTATGTTAGCCATGCTATTTCAGGCTTTATGGATATAACTGGCTGTTGTGTTCCCAAGGGGACATGATTTGATTGGAAAGATCTGAAACCATGTAATAAGTATGAGGTGGGGTTTAAGAGAATCCCATCACACTGGCTTACTTTGCCTCCTGGAATAGAGGGAAGTCCAATTTAATGTTATCAATCGTAGATGGATTTATTTTGCTTATAACTCACAACAGCAAAACGTGATTCTTACAGTCGTAGTTCTTTACTGAGAATCGCAACACATCAAGCTTTGTGTCAGACTACCTAGTAACAGAGTGAAGGTGGACCTCCTCAGTGTTTTTAAGTTACCACAATCTTATGCATGTATTCAAAGTGAAGTCAGGAAGACATACATGGGAACACACGGGATTTAATTACTATAACAACATGCAGCTTGGATGTGGCTGGTTCATTTCATCTTATTATGATCAATATCTGTTTAAGAATATATGAAACAACTTTAGGAAATCAGTCTTAAGTCAAAATGACAAAAATTCTCTTCCTGTTATTGAAGATTTCTCCTATACTATTTTATGGTTAATAAAGTTTTAATTCAAAGCAAAATATTAACTCAGGAAAATGGACAGAATGTCCAATACCCACGCATTAGGTCCTGGGAAATCATCCTCTATAATAGGAGCCCTCATTTCATTTTCTCTTTAAACCCTTCAGAGCTCCCTATTATTCTCCAAATTCAAATTTTCAACCATTACAGCTACTGGCTTTCCATCCTCACCTATTGTAGGTCCTTTCTTAAGTCTAGTTTTCATGCTCTGACTAGTTGTCAAACATGTTCGATGTCTCAGCATAAAATTCCGCTTTAGCCTTTTGTCCAAGCTGTTCCACATTGGGCTTTTCACCCTTGAGTTCCACTACTTGGAGCTCTTCTAGGTTAACGTCTGCGTGCTTCAAGTACCCATCTGTGTAATTTATATTTCACATTAATCGAACTAATGGGTGCTGTCCTTTACTAATAAAGAGAATATAACCTGTCCCCAATCTTAGGGATGGCTCCATTATTTCAGGCTTTTTTTTTTTGGACATAACTATTATATCAAATATTGTCCTGAGACAGTATATGATTTGATTTGGTATATCTGAACCTATGTAATTATCACATGGAATGTGCAGTGCTCTGGACTATCCTGGATACTAAAAAGCTGCAGGCAGGTAAAGTATTGTTCAGAGATGCCTGAACACTGACTCTGCTTTCTCGGCCCCTGGAGGAGGTGTGAATGTGATGACACTGAGCTTGGTTCAAGAATCAAGAGAACCTTCTATTCGGTTGTCAGAAAAGTCATGACGTATTTTTTTCTATGTTTTTCATTGCAAAAATGCGTCATGAATTTTCCGACAACCCAATATTTATACACATTTCCTACAAAGAAATGCATAAATGGTTAATGTAAATTCTTCCATGATAATAATGCAAACCTAAGCTTCCCAGATTTGAAGGGACTCATATCTTGTACACACACAGTGTCACCTACATGCCTATTAGGGACTCTGGGAGGTAACAAAACTATATTAAGAAATGCAGCATCTGTTTCTCCGTATGTGGCCACCCTGCTTCCAACAAGTTTCTGTATCCTTGGCTGAATATCAGTGTGTTGTTTGTATGTGTGTGTATACTCTTCTAAACCATTCTATAAACCATCTATAGTGCTGCAGATGTTTTAAAAGAATTCCACCACACTTTCTTACTTTAAACTTTGGAATAGGCAAATAGCTAAAGCCAACAACAGTACACAGAGTTAAGTCATTTGCAACTTGTATACAAGTACAATTAAAGATTGTGCCTTTTGCCTCTTCTGGAAATTCAGCTGTGTGTTGCTATACATCCTCACTTTTAAAAAAGAAACATGAAACACGTACCCATTCTGGGAAGAAGTTCTTTATCAGCTCCCTTGAAAAAGCACACGTAGATCACTAATCCTCTCTGAACCTATGATAAATCACCACAGTAAACTCAGATTAGAAAGGAACTTCTATATAGAGATACAGAGGTAAGTAAAATTTCACAACTGTTATATAGAGGTTAAACGCAAAAGAAGAGTTAAGTTTTTACAAAATTCCTTTACAGTACTGATTTACAATGTGTCATCAGCAAAATCATTTTCAATATTCAATTACCTCAGTTATCATTTCTGTCAAAAATTAAGTTTAAAATATAGCTTGGAGCAGTGAAGACCATAAGTTTTACCTTCAGACATTTGCTTATAATAAAAAATATTAGGACTATAAACTAGCTTCCTCCCCCCTAAGTAAGGCTGACACTTAGAAACATTTAGTTTGCAGGACTCCATTTATTCAACACCAAATGAATTCACATTATATCTTATATGGCTGATAAATAAGCAACAGTGTGACTCATGTCCTTTGACATCACTCTTTATTCCTCCTTATCCATTTACTTGCACATCATGAAAAAAGGGCCTGATTCTATTTCAATAAACTCTAAGACACTGTTCAATTATTTTTTGTTATTGTTAATGTTTTAAATAAACATAGTGATTAGGTTTTGGAAATTACATTTATGATGCTAAATTCTACATCATGAGGTTTTTACCAGGACTGTAAGCTTATTTATTTTATATAATGACTTAGATATTTCTTTATTAGCTCTTATAGGATAGAGACTATATGGAAAAGAGATAGTTGATAAATGAGTTTGATTTGCTGCTGAGGGAATCATTAATTTTTTTTTTTAATTTTGCACATTAACCCTGTTGAGTCTAAGAGCTATTATGAAGATTAAATGAGTTAATATTTGTAAGGTGTTTAAAATGGTGCCCGGTTCAAAGTAAGAGTTATACAAGAGTTTATTAAATGAGTAAGTAAAAATAAATTTAAGGGGCTGGCCGAGTGGCGCGATGGTTAAGAACTGGCTTGGGACACCAGAGGGCCCTGGTTCGGATCCCACATATGAAGGCCAGTGACACTGCCCTCCACAGCTAAGATGCTGAACAACAGCTCAACCTGGAGCTGGGCTGCCCTGAGTCGCCGGCGACGGCGTAGGCTGCAGCACCTATGGTAGTGGGTTGCCATGGGCTACCGTATGTAGCCAGCAGCCAGCATGAGCGGCCAGCAGCCAGTGTGAGTGGCCAGCAGCCGCAGAGAGTGGCTGTCCAGAAGCCAGCGACTGATCTGCCTTACCCGGGAGGAGTGCAATGATGGTGCCAACTTGGGCCAGTGAAGCAACGTCCTCCACAACTAGACTGAAGAACAAAAGGACAGCAACTTGTCTGTTCCCCTTCCCCCAATTCCCCAATAAAAAATTTAAGGGCTGGAGTACAATTCCTTTTACATTTTCACTCCCAAAGCACTTTATAGACTGTTTTGGACACAATAGGATGTATTTAAGTTCAATTGTAGCTTACAGGATCTATGTGTTACCTAAATTGTCTTCTATGTAAATATAAATGCAGCTCTGCACTCACACCTGATTTACCTAGAAAATAAGTAATTTTTAAAAAGTGCAGTTGTGTTTATGGAACAAGCAAGCACACTCATAATAAGGAGCTGGCAGGTTGAATGACAGGTACCTGCATCACTCTCACAGGCCTCTCCACTGGAATTATTTCAGCATGAGCCAAGATGTCAAGCATATTCATATTTGGACATTTGCAATGTCATAATTAAGTAGCTAATTATTTGCAGAAATAGACACATGTTCTTTACACTCACCATACTACCTGATCAAGGTATTTTCTTTTAGTTTATTCCAATAATAGATCTTAACTTGTGACCTACACATTCCCCTCTTCAAGTCAGAATCACTTCACTTGTAGCTTCTTTTGGTACAAAACACTTCAAATATGTAGGAAAGTACAGATAATTCTCATGGTAGCTTTAAAAAGTTCAAGAAGAAAAACATTAGCCTGTGACAACAAAGCTCTAAATGAATGAAACTAAGAAAATGCAAAGTAACCTTCAAATCTTTTGACAATTAAAACAATGTTTTAATAATAGACTAGGAAAGAGGATGCTTGAGAAACAGGAATTTACTTTTTTCTATCTCTATACTAATTTAACCATGTGTGCAAGTGGAAGGCAAAGCTTTGAAATAGCTTTTAAAGTTTATAAACACAGATTGATACTTTGGAAGGCTGCAATAAACTATCTGTGATTTTGCATAAGGAGATGTGGCATGAAGAATATAAAAAGATAAAGAAGCGTGGGAAGAAATCTAAATGATTAATAGTTTGAGATTTATAGTCCCATGAATCAAGTATAAAAATAGGAAATTTTTCTGGATAAGATTACCAATAGGAAAAGAATAAAATTTCAAAATATGGTAGAGAAATCAAGGCCTCAAAAAAGGGCTATAACAAAAATAACGAAATATGGACTTTTGAGAATGAGAAGGGGAGGGGCAAATATAAGAATGTTTATGCTTATAAATATTTCTAAGTTAGCAGAGGATAATATCTTCTGCTTTAGGAAGAATCATCCGCATATCATAGTTTATGGGTAGCACTTAAAATACTATGATTGTGTAAGGAATGCTAGATCTGTGACCAAACAGAGAAGATGAGTGAATGTGATGCTTCCACATTTAAAGTTCCTGAGTACCTCCAAAGTCGTAATTATGAACTAGCTTTTTCCTTCATCTTAGTCCAAAAATAAGTCAGGGGCCTCAAAGAGCATTTTGTTTTTGCATTGACTGGGGGCAGGCTGTCTTAAAAAGGCAAATATGCAAGTAGAAGAAAATTATATTGGTGTAAATGTTTTAAATTTTTTGGAGGAAATGTGTTCGATAACAAGACGTTATTATAAAAGCATTGGCCTTTATTTCCATTTGGAGATAACTCAAACTTTTAAAAGTTCCTTGAACAACGAACTGTTTCGTGGGAAACCTCGTTTCTATGCTAACACCTAGCTGCAGTCCACGTAACTGGAAAACGGAGAGGATCTGGAGCTCAAGTCAAAACAGGTCTTGAACGTTAACAAATCTAATCTACAAGCTCGAACCATCCTAGCACAGCAATGCGAAGGGCGTGGCAAGGCCTTTGCTCTTTTGAAGCAAGAGCTGTTGGAGCAATTAGGTCTCAAGTCCACCGAGCGCAGGTAGGCAGCTGGTGAGAGGATGTTCCAATCCCCGCGGTCCTACGCATGGGACATGCCCTTCCTCTGTAGCAATAAATTCGAGGAAGGAGCTAGGGACGGCGGTGCAGGCCTAGGAGGCAGAAGAAGCAGCCAGGCAGGCCACTCTGGACAGCGTTGGGCAGACCGGCCGGAAGTGCCGCACCGCCCACGGCACGTGGCCGGCCCGGGGGAGGACTGGGGTGGGCGGGCAAGTCACCGAGCCAACGCGGAACGAACGCCCCTACGCGCCGGAGGATAACAGGAGCTGCGGGGCCGACGTTACCTCCACCCACTGGGCCGCGGCGTCGCCCTCGGCGGGGCGTACTTGCAGCCGGGCGTGCAGGCATTGCTGCAGGATCGCACGGGCCTGAGGTGTCCGGCCGCTCTCAGCCATGGCTTTAGCCTGCGCGGCGATCCGACGGGCTCAGGCAGCGCGCCGCGTAAGCAGGAGCAGCACGCAGGAAGGATGGAGCGCAGCGCGGCGGAGGGATGTCCTGATAGCCCGTGGCCCCGCCCCGGTGAGGGCGGAGCTTCTGCTTGCCTTTCGGGTGACCGGCTGTACAGTCTAAAATGTGCTAACCGCTACACAGGACCTACCTAACTGTAAAAGGTGATCAGTGTTTGTTTTTAAACGAATTAAAAGACTTATTGAATCTCTTCCCTACACACCTTTTAAAGAACCATTTTTCAGCTCAGAAAGCTTAACTTTCCAGACGTTGACAATTTTTAAATTTGTCTGAGTCCATATTTTGCCCATTATGAAGATCGGTAAATACAATGAATCAATTGAATCACAAAATATAAGAAGATAGAACTAAAGGCTATAAATCTTACAAAAATTTCCTTACCCCTAACAATTAAACAACGTTGTCTCTTCTATCAGGAATGCTATACATCATTCCGATCCTGCAGTTGTGGAAACGTATTGTGAAGTGAATACACATTTGGAGATCAATCTTTTAGAAAATATTCTTATCCAAGAAAATGTGTGATTTTTAATACACTTTTTAATCTGCAACTAATACAAAATTAAATGACATGTTCTGATGCACGTGATATTAAATTCTGTGATGTGTTTTCTGTAAGTACATGTTAGAATGTAAATAAAATTAAACAAGGGCTTGGTTTTCTTTCCCACATAAAGCATTCCTCAAACATGCATCAGATTAGCATTATTCTTTTGTGGGTTTGGAGGATTTCAACGAGGAATAATAGTGTTACCCTGATTGCATTACTCAGGTCATTGATTTGGGCTCAGTTGGCACAATATGCCTATACATTCGGGTTTGTTGCTTTAGAAGATGACATCACTGGCTGTGTTGCTATCCATACAAAGTAGTGTAATGAAGAAAATAATCCATGTGTAATCAATGGTCCTTTCTACACAAAATTAAGCCGCCTGTTTGCTGGTTATCTTGCAGCTGCCTTACACTTTTTGTAAAAACAGAAAGCAAAATCTCACATTATCTCTGATTGCTGCATTGCAGGTGTTCCTATGAATGTTGACATTTGTCTGTAAAGCACAGATAAGTTGCACTGTCTGTACCTTTATGTCATAACTATTGAGTCTCTTTTCTCTTTCACTCCTAGGCTCAAGTTTTACAGGGCTGGAAGGAACTTTGACATAGAGTCCCTGAGCCTTGACCCAGAATAAGAGGATTTTGATGTCCGTTTGTGTATGGGAGGAGGAGATAGGGAGGTCTCATGAAAATAGGCTACGTGGTTCCCAGAGATCCTTCCACAGTGAAGGGATTTTAGCAAATTGGGAAATCCTTCCTGTGAATAGATGGATTTTGGTTGGTAGTGGTCAGCGGCTCAAAGATCACCAATTACTTTATACTTTCCTTTGGGGCAAAGGATCTCCTGGACATTACTGTAAGTAGTACAATAATAATAGGTTGTGACTCACTATTCTTTCCTTCTACCTGCAGAGGGCAGTAGAAAGTAGGCACCAAAGAGAAAGGATCACCTTCCTGTATTTTATTTATTTTTTGAACATCTAGTCTCATTCCACAAAGAATTTAAGAAGTTAAGACATACACGCTATAAAACATTAAAATGTGACTAAGAATACAGCATTAGGAGTAAAGAAAATAGAATTATGCCAGTAAGTCACAATGGAGGAAATAAAAGCAGAATACGACTGGTTCTTAACTGGAGTGCTGAGATACAGTATGTAGCAAAGTTTTCACAGATATATAACTTTAATTTTTGTTATAAGACATTATATCCATCACATATAATATTAAGATGGAACACGTGCAATTTCCTTCAAATTAGAAGTAAAAGGCAAAGCACAGCATTAAGGAAGGAAGAAGTGAAGTGGTTCACTGGAACATAAGAAGAGCTTTGCCTTGTGAGTATATAAGAAATCACTGTCTGGCCTGGAATAGTTCTCAAATAGCTCTACTGTGCTGCAAGGGGCCATATGGATAGTGGGTTAATTATGAATGCATTCTAGCCCTCTGAGATGATACAATAATTTATGTAGAGTTGTTTTAATTTGTTTGATTAACTTAAGTTGGCTGCCCCAAATTTTAACATTCAAAAAATTTCACAAACATGGAATATTTGAGAACCACTATCTGAAAGATCCTTTATGGTTGGTGCTAAGCTTCCTTATCATAAAGAGGAAAGGAGAGAGAAAGGAACTATAATCTATTTCATAGTTCTTAGAATAAGCAGAGCTTTTCCTAAGATTTAGCTCTAAAATGAGCCTCTTACATGAGACTTTACATAGGGGTATGTTAATCAGTAGAAGTGCAACTGGAAAAGGTAGATTTTTTTTTCTTTTTGGGGAAGGTTGGAAAAAATCTAGCCTCCCACTTTAAAGCTCAGAGATTTATTTTTTTCAGTGCTTATGGAGGTGATCGGATTCTTAGAACTTGGTTCACATTAACTAATGCACATAAGTTGGAGTAGAACTAGAATAGTAATTTCTTCATTTATAGTAAGAAATATTGCTGTGACATGGAGTGAAAATTCTCACATAAGATGTCATCAGCAAATTTTCCCCAGATGTCAAGCATGGGATACTAGATCATGTTCAGAAGTCTCTTTACTAATTTATTATAAGAGACTCACTCTTCTACCAGGGCATCTGAAACTGAGGTGTGAAAGGCCCACGTGAATGAATTTTGGCTTCAAGACACTTTCTACATGCATTAAGGCTGAGGAAAGAAAAACCAAACAGATTTAAATAACAGCTGGAAATAAAAAGTCTAAGGGCAAATGCTCCAAACCACAACCATATGTTTTGTCATGGAGCCTCTTCTTACAGAGGTAGAAAGTGAGGGCACGAGTGTTCATGCAGTTGAAGCCCTTCCATATGGAAATATGAGGCCTGGGAAAACAACATTTCTCACCTAAGAGCTGAGTCTACTTTTTTTTTTAATCTTTAAATTATTTATCTGTATATTCTTTTTTTTTATTCATTTCAGGTGTACAAAACAATATAATAGTTAGACATTTCACCCCTCACAAAGTGATAACCCCCTCCCCCAATCTATTGCCCCTCTGACATCGTATATAGCTGTTACAATTCCATTGACTCTATTCCCTATGCTGTACTCCACATCCCGTGACTACATATATATTAAATTGCATTCAATATAATTGCATTCAATCAAAGTCGACATACAATATTATTCAGCTTCAGCTTCAGATGTACAGCGCAGTGGTCCGGCATCTACACTATTCATTTAGTGGTGAGCTGAGTCTACTTTTCACATGAATAGTTTGTACAGCCAGGTAGTGGGTAGAAGTTAGTTTGGAACTTGATATTGATTGTTCTGTTCAATTTGCTTTTTTTAAAAAAATTCTTACTTTATTATATTACTGTACTATTCACTGGTATGTTGCCTGCGTAACATAACAAGTGCTTTTAACTTTAAGGCAATGATGTAAATCTTTGGCAGTCTGTAGGGTTTCTTCAGCGTAGGCTGATAAGTTATCTTGATCTTTGGGTTATTTTTCAGCTCATAGTGTTGTGATAGCTTAGCAAAACATGGTATTACCTTTTGAATATTTGTCTACATCTGTTGGCTGTTTTGTCAAGTCAGGCCATCCTGTTGTAAGAGCTTTTTATAATTTTGACACCTGCATTCTTTGTAAGAAAAAATTGTGAACTATTTTGAAATGGGCAAAAGAGATTTTTAGATACCCTTTTAATGGAATGTTGGAGTCTCTGGAGATTACCCAGCCCTATAGCACTATATAGGATTTGTCTTTGACTAGGCTGTCTCACAACTCTGTAGAGATAGAAGTTAACTTTTTGAATACTGATGGTAAGCAAATTTTTCTCATTCATAAAAATGTAAAATTTGGTTATTACTCTGTAGATATTGACCAGGTTTGCCAGTTTTACATTCATTTGTAAATTCATTTCAGCATTCTTACTTGACTTGAGTTCTCTCTTTCTCTCTTTTTAAATAAACTTTATATTTTAGAATAGAGTTAGATTTTACTTAAAACTTTCAAAGATAGTACAGAGAGTTCCCATAGTCCCCTCACCCAATTTCCCCTATTATTAATATCTCAAATTACTATGGTATGTCCGTCACAACTAAGGAACCAGCATTGGCACATTAACCGAACTCCAAACTTTATTAAGATTCCATTAGTTTTTTTCTCTAAATTCTTTTTCTGGATCCTACCCAGGATACTACATTCCATTTAGTTCAGCATGTTTCCTTATGCTGTGACAGTTTCTCAGACTTCCCTTGTTCTTAATGATCTTGACAGTTTTGAGGAGTACTAGTCAGGTATATTGTAGGATGCTCCTTTATTGGAATTGGACGTTTTTCTCATGATTAGTCTGAAGGGAGAAAGAGAGTCTGGAATCCAGAGGTAGAGGCTTATATAAACCCTTTAGAGAAGGCATTGACCTTCTGCCAGCAGCACAGCCAACTCCACATGACCCTTTAGGTAGGCAGCTAGGGAAATAAATACCTGACCCCATTTTCTACCTTCCTTCCGTTTACTGCCAGTGCTCCACATTGGCAAACCCAAACAGATGATAGGAAACATGGGGCCTTGATGTTCCAGCCTCCAGGGCAGAAAGCAAGGTGAAGAATGCTTGAGTGTAGATCTGGAAGGCAAGCAGAAGATATCTGGCATACTGACTGAAGAGGTCTTAAAGATCACAGTGGGCACTCTTTTGTCATCTTTTTGTTGGAAAATGACAGCTGGGGAGACAAAGAAAGAAATAGCTGCAGTTAATGTTTTTAATGGAAACCCCCAATTTCTTCAAGCGTTTAGATAGGTGAAGTTTGACTTAGTGAGTTATCAGTGTAAGATGAGTCAAGGTCCTTGAAGTCTACTCCCCTTTCATCCGGGTTACTGGGGATATGGCAAGACATCAGAGGAGAATGGTTGCTGGAATCCTAGCTGTGGTGAAAATGCCCCCTACACAGTTCTACTTGCATGGCAGGAAGGGATGGAGCCATTGACTAGAGGTCTTGCAGACTTGAATAAGAAACATGTTATAGGAGGGCAATAAGGACCTAAGTCTTTAGAGCACTCCAAGAATCTCTTGGACTATGGGGGAAGGGATTTGGAATCAGATTTGATTTGATACAGGAAAAATAATGAACCATTTTTATTGTCTTTGAGCGTTTTAACTAGGTTCATACTGACTCCAGCAGAAAGTAAAT